GAGTAGACAACTAGTAACAGCACAATTTGATAAAATGGAGCACAGGAGGAGAGGGGGGAAAGGCAGGGAGATTTAGGGCAGAGAATAATCGTGGATTGGGAACCCAAAGTATTGAAGAGCAGGAGCTGGCCAATTAAGAAGGTGGCATCGCGGTAAGAGGCACAGCAGACCAGGGCACAGAATATACAGAGGGTGAATTGTGCCAGCAAACTTGGTAATGAGTCATGAGGTGAGGCCAGAGGTGCCACATCCAAGGGCATGGCTGAAAGGCAAAGGGCTAGTTTGAACTGAGATCCCACATTCCTTCCACCCACACAGAGACATTCTAGGCTATTTTAGATGCCAGGTGGGTGGAAATGCCACATTTATGTCTCATTTGGGTGACTTCAAGAAAAAATTGAGATTGAGTAATTCAGGTCAGGGTAAGGAAGGAAAGTTAATTTTTAATTCCTAAGTATTGGGTAGGCAACGTGGCATGGTCGTTAAGCTGCCCCTGCAGTGGTGTCCTTTGATACTCCACTTCTGATTTAGCTCCTTTCTAATGCACCTGGGAAAGCAATGGAGGATGTCCCTTTGGTTGGACCTTTGCAACCTCATAGGAGACCCACAAAGAAGCTCCTGATTCAGCTTGGCTCAGCAACAGAAGTTGCAGCCATCTGGGAAGTGAACCAGCAGATGGAAAATTCTGTTTTTCAAATAAATAAATGAATCTTAGAAAAACTGGTATGTGATAATATTTTCTTCAAAAAGGATGGATTTGGATAATCTTAAGGCATGTCACAAAGCTAATTTAAGAACGCCACCTCCTGTTAGCATCAGGATGATTTGGAAGAAAAATAGAGCTTCCATGGGTGCTAGTCTCTGAGGATTGTAGCTATGGTGTTTAGTTTTTGAGAATGTTCATTGTATTTGGTTAGATTTGCCACATTTTCCCCTTCAAATGTTTCTACTCCCTTAGTGCTAATAAACTCTATTGACTTTCTCTAGATTTTAGCCAAAGAAGACATAATTAGAAGTGGCATCTGTGCAGATTCTGCAGTACCACTACTTTCTAGTTACGAAATAATACACTGAGAGATTTGGGACCCTGTTGACTTTAGTGGGGAGTTCCCATCCATGGGCAGAGCAGAGGTTACCTTTGAGCTCCACTAAATGTTTCTGTACTTCTTTTTATATGCACAAAGATTCTCTTTATTTCATCTAGTAGTTAAGAAATCATTTTCTTGTTTTGTTCACGAAGGATGTTGGTGTGACAAGGCCATTGGACCTTAGTGTATTTTTTTTAAAGCTGTTTATATTTCAGATGATGACTTTACAGTTGCATTTCAATCTTTTCTAACTGGGATGTATCATCAAGAGTAGTGGATCCTCCATTCTTAGATTTCATTCAGACTCCTTTAATTTGTAGCAGGGCAAGTCTAAACATTGAATTAAAGATATGATTGTTTCACTCCTGGTCGGTCATCTGGTCTGAGAGCTCTGTACTTGTCTTCAAAAGAGAGAATTTGATTCTGAGTGTGAGTTAGGGAATCCTGTTTCTGTAATTTATGAGATATTTTATTGTTAGGACTGTGCTCTCATAAGATCAAGCACTTGTCATTAATTACATGAAAAATAAAATCAAACTTATGTGATACAAATCCTTTACTTTTAGTGGTTGGTCCATGTTATATTTTTTTCCAATGTAATAGGTAATATTTAAAGGAAAAATTTAAGGCCATTATTCTACCTCTGGTTCTGAGACTTTTTAACTTTTGAATCTGGGAATTCTATGATCTGCTATCCCCTGAGCACAGTTTTTGTACATGGGATGTAGATGTGTGCATCTCCTTTTGATTTGCCCAACTTGTTAACTTTCCTGCATACTCAACTGGAGTTTTTGTGGGCAAGTAAGATCATATATGTATTCATCTTCAGGTTTTCTGTGGTAAATTCTGACCAGTTGCACAGCTGGTTCTTTTGGCTTTTCTGGGGCTGGAATGGATTCCTGGCTCATGCCTTAGAGAGCCATGCCTCCTGGTGCCTGTTGTAAACTGAGGATTTGGAAAATTTCTCTCATCACTCTTTTCAGTTGTGCATCTATGACAGGCCTGTGCACCTGTGCAACAGGTGCATTCACACATACCAGAGATACACGAACATGTGTTGACAAAGGGAGTTCTGCTTTTTGGGATGTAGGTTATGGCTGACCCGATAGGGATTTGTGAGGTACACGTCTAAGAAGGCTGTTTCCTTGATCCCAGTTGCTGGGTCTCTAATTCTGCAGTGAAGAGAACTGTGGTGTTAATTACAACAGCAGAGGACCACATGTTCTTCCATATGTCCCTGCAGTCATTTCCGCATTTCATTGCTGGGCCCCATCGGACCAGTGTGAGAAGCTCCTGGGATGTGGTTGGACTATGAGACACTGCATATGAATTGCTGATGTCTGTTATGGGCAAGGGATGGGGGGGGTTGCACCATTCTTACTTGCCATTTGTTGGTTGGGCCCTTTCCCTGGATCAAAATTATGCTTCCTCAAATCTAGCACTATAATTTTATGTAATAGTCATGGCCTATCACCCACGCACATGATTTTGAAACTCAGGGTGAAAATGAGAGAACTCCTTCATATGAAATGTTAATGATTTTCAACTAATTTGTCACCTTTTTGGCAATTTACAGCATGGCTCTGCTGGGAGAAACCGTTTTTAGCAGATTCTAAAAAAAACAAGGCTGAGCTTCTCATTTCTCCCTTAGAGAAACTTCTAAATGTAGATAACACCAAATTTAAAGAGCCAAGTGAAAGAATTTTTTCTTACTTGGAGAGCCATTTGGAAGACAGGACAGTCAGGTCAGATGCTCTGTATGGTGGAACAGATAGCAGCTGGGAGTCGAGGGGAGCCTTGGCTCCCAGGTTAGAGATTTAGACTTGGAACAAAAAGACGGGGCTTTGTCTCCAGGAAGTGTGTTCAGAACTAGCTCTGTGTTTCCTGATACTGATTTCTTTATTGGATGATGCTCCTTTGGTGAATTCTCTGGTAACATTCACACCCTAACCCTTATCCCTCGCTACCTTCTGGCATTACTGCAGATCTGAGTCATGTTTTTGTTCACCCTTGAGGGCAGTGCATGTCCCTCACTGGACATGTGGACACTCCCTGAAGGCCAGGGTCCATGGTTCCTCTGTTCTCATCCGTCTGGCTGCCTGGTACAGTGCCTGACACTGAGCAGTGGGTGGGCACTATTTCAGTTAAATGGATTTTTATATTTATTGGAAAAGTTAATGGATTTTCTAACCACGGCTTCTGAGTGTCAGTGTGCTGGTTTCACAGTTGGATCAAAAGCTGAAAGAGACAATGCTGGATGTGTCTGGAAGGATATTTTGCCTTATAGTGAATGATGATATTGACACTCTCTTCTTTTGACTTTCATTTCCTTGCTAGCTACCTTATCCGAAAGCATTTTCCAAGATCACATTTGCCACTTACTTGGTCATTCACTTTTAGCCTTCATCCATCCCTTCTACCACCGTTCCTCCCACTTATAAACCTGGACTTTAAGGCTTTGCTTTGCCTACTTTGTTTCTCAGATACAGCAAATGTGTTGATGACTCCCAGGTCTAGCTCTTCTGTCCTGAGCTCTTCTGCCATTCCAAACACTTCTTTTCAACTGTCAAGTACGTATTCTCAGAAATTCTTGTGTTTGGTGATAGCCTCCCAAGTGGTTTGTTTATAGTGGTTTGCTTAATGAAGCACTACTGAACATACTGCTACCCCCTTTCCAATTTTGCTTACAGATTGATGGAGCTTTAGTCAATCAGTGTAACAACCATCATGATTATACATTAGAACTTGCCCCATGATGGGTACTGTTTTAGCTGCTCCCTGAGTTAACTCCCTTATCTGTTAGAAGTGCTCTTTGCAGTAGGTACTGAGGCATCTCCAGCATACAGGTAAGGGGCTTGCTGAACATGCAACATGTTCCAGAGCCGTATGAAGTCCATCCCTTTTCACCCAATTCTAGAGCCTGCTCATGAAATCCTCAGCCTTCTCTGCTCCAGATGCAGTAATGTTCACCTGTTTCTCAACATGCCATCCTCCTTCCTGGTGAAATGTTGCTAATCCTTCACTTACCTGGTTAACTCATGCTCTCCCTTCAAGACTGTGTTCACCGGCCATTTTCTTTGGAGGAATCAAAACTTTCTGGGTGGAGTTGGTCACTCCCATCTATGGTCACCTGTGCCCTGTCACAGGCTGCTCCCATTTTTCACAGTGGCTATCATTTATTTACCTGCATCCTCTACAAGACAGAGAGCTCCTTAGCAGAAAGTACTCCTGCTTCAGCTCTGTTTCTTAGCCTAATAACCAATGATCAAGCAGTGATTATTGAAGGAGCCAGTCAAGCCAGCAGGTCCATCAGCTCAGGGACCATGTTTTTCTTGATTGGAGAAGTGTACCCAGCCTCTCATAAACTCATAGGAGGTGCTCTATTGCTATCTGGATGGAAACTGAACTGGAACACTGTGGCATTAATGCATTTCAAGCAGAACTTTCTATTGTTTTTAAAGATTTATTTTTATTGGAAAGTCAGAATCACATAGAGAAGGAGAGACAGAGAACTTCCTATTTTTATTCCTCATTTGCCGGTAACAGTCTCAGCAGTAGCAACTTGGCATCTTTTGGTGTTTAATAATGTTTTTATTCTCCTATAATTCATGGATAAGTAGTCTTGGTTTCTTTTAAACTCCATTAAAAAAAAACTGAAAAATTTTCTTGAGCATAAAAGGTAAGGTATATCTCAGTTGAATTTTGGATCCCTGTAATTTCTCTACTTTTACTTTGGAGAGGTATTTAGCTATTATCCATAGTCATTATGAATGAAAGAGAAGGCTACAGGGTATTTTATAAGTATGACACATTTGCATTAGTGTAATGTAAATTTGCTTTACATTGATTGTCATCAAAGAGAAAGGATGTAAAGGAAGGCCCCTTGAAACTGCCCTGGCCTGGGACCCTTACCTGCTGGCCTGGCTTGATGGGGGACAGCGTGATGCCCTGGCTGTTGATGACGGGCAGGATCTGGTTGCCGATGACAGTGGCGATGATCTGGCCCTGGGCGTTTGTCAGGAGCTGGGGGGTGATTGGTTGCACTTGAAGGCCCTGAGTGCCACTCGCTGCTTGGCTTGATGGCCCTGGATTAGGCATCAGTGGAATGGTCCCAATAATCTGCAAAACACAAGCCTAGAGGTGAGGAGCTGAGCTCCATCAGGGTTTACACATGCACCTGCAGTTACACAGGCCCCAGGCGTGACTCTGAGCTGGGACCACATCCATCAGGTCAGAGTGGATGGAGCAGGAGAAGGAGCAGGGACCAAACACAGAAGGAGTAGGGAAGTACACTTGATCAAGTTTAGTGAAGGCCAGTGACAACTGCTCAATTAAAAAAAAAGCATTGGTAAATGCACATGCATGCCAACTCTGCCATGGAAATAGCTGTTTTGGAGTCCTGACTTATGATTCAGTTTCCTGCTAATCATGCTGAAAAGGCAGCAAAAGATGACCTAAATACTCTGGCTCCTGCCACCTATGAGAGTAACCCAGATGAAGTTCCTGACCTTGGCTTTGGCCTGATACAGACCTGATACAAAACCTGGCTCTTGTAGCCATTTGTGGAATGAACTACCAAATTGAGGATCTTTGTCTTTTCTCTTTCTGTCTCTCCCTATCTCTCATTCTGTCTGTAGTTCCAGTCTACAAATGAATGAGTTATAGGAACAAAGCTGACATTTGGGGATTTAACTAATGGTTACAGCCCCATTGTTAGGTGCAGAGCTAAGCTTGAGATTATAAAGTAAATGGAATTATGTCATTGTAAAAATGAAAAAGGAGGAAGGATAGGAGTATCATTACATACTAAAAACCATATATATTAAATATTTGTCATTCAAGTTTTTGGCTGTCCAGGGAACCTGCATTCCTCCATCAGGGGGCTTCACTCACTCTGAACTTAGGAGCCACATGCATCCATTGCTCTGCCTCCTTCCCTTTGCTGGGAGCCTGCTCCTCTCTCAAGATCAAGGGTGGTCCCCTTCTACTCTCAGCAGGATTAGGTGCCTCAAGCATCTTGATTGCTTGTCCCACCAAGATTGGTGCTGAGATAGAAGTTCTGGTATGAAGTTTGAGCAGGTGAGGCCTGGGAGATAATTCAGGTTAAGTGAGGCCAGAAGGGTGGCACCTGAATCCATGGAACTGTGACTTTGGAAGACGAGGGCAGATCAGAGCCAGGATGCTCTGCCTTACCACATGGTACCTGTGCTCCTGGGGGACCCCACAGGGAGGCCCGACCAGTTGGAAAGACCACCACATGTGGTTTCCCAATCTTGAACCTTCTAATCTTCAGCACTGTGAGGCAGACAAACCTTTCTTTTCTTTTCCTTAAATGGCACAGACTTTGTATCCAGCCAATGCAACAGAAAATTCATGAAGATGCTGGAGGTCCTGGTGGTTGAGAGCCTAGCTATGGTAACAAAAGAGCCCAATGCCATTCTTAGCCGTGCCAGCTGTTGGTTGTGCCATGGCTAAGATGCCTGCATTTGCTAACAGTGTGCCTGCATTGGGTGTTTGCCCTTAGCTTTTTATTCTGACTTCCTGCAAATGCAGATTCTGGGAGAAATTGGGGTGGCTCAGTCAGTGGGCCCCTGATATCCCTAAGGGAAATCTGGGTGGGCTTCCTGGCTCTTGGCTTTGTTTCTGGTCTAGTTCATGTACTTGCTGGAGTGAACCAGTGGGCCAGAGCTCGCTCTTTCTTCCTCTCTTCTCGAAATCAGTGTTTGAACACTTAAAAGTCAGTTTATTATGATTTAATTTTTCCAAAATCCATGCATAACTCTTGCAGAATATTCACTTGCACAAATGTTCTCTAGACTGCTCATAGATGAGTCAGGGAGGTATAGTGTAGACAGGTGAAGTAATGAGTGGAGTCACTTGATGGGGGGATTGTGGGTGTGCTGGCGCTGACCCTGAGTGCTTGCTTTGTGTTGTTACCTGACTCTAATTGCTTGGAAGACAAGGCCAGGAACACGCAAGCTCTGTTGGAGTGCATAGCATCCTGCTTGCAATTTTCCCACCAGATGATATTCTGCTTGTGAATGAGGCTCATAAATGACACCATTTTCTACCCCACAGCACCCCAAATGGGGCCTTGCGGATAGTCTCTCAGTAAATGTATTTTTTTTAAGTGAATAGATTATAGACTCAGCTCTCACTGGGACTCCAGGTACACTTGGGAGTGCTGTCAGACTACACTCTTCAGGGCCAGAGCCTGTTGGAAAAGTATCTCACATCACCACCATACCTGGCCATTGTGTCCACCGTAGATACCCCTGTGAGCTGGTACTATTGGAGGAGTGAAGGGAATATCAACTATTGGCAACAACTGTCAATGAATACTGTTAAAAGTCAAATACTCCCTGCGGAAGGTGGTCAGTGGTCCCTCAGGGAGCTTGCAGGCCTGCAAGCTCCCTGAGCAAGTCTAGTGCGGACCAGGCCAGCAATCACTATGTCCCCTTGGTTTGTACCAGGTCAGGAAGAGTCCATCTCAATACATCACAGCATGTAAATGCTTGATCAATGCATGGTCTTGCGTTAAGCGGCCCAGGATCTAAAAGGCCAGTTCCTGCAACCCCACAGGTGGCATAGGAGACAGCTGGGGAGTAGGCCGCCAAGGGCTGACTCTGGCTCTTTGCCTTCCCAGACAGGTGTGATGAAAACTTGGCAATCCCCAACACCACTCTGGGCCTGACATTACTGCAACACGGGCTTCTCACGGCTCTTTCCACCTCTGTACTTTTTCCCCAACCTTGAGCATCTCTTACCTAGGATGGGACAATAGGAGTGTCAGTGTTAGGGGAGTCTGATGCCCCAGTGAGGGACCCCATCCATTAAGAGAATTTGTGGATAAGCTCAAAAGTGGTTCTAGCTGGGAAGTCCTCTGTGAAGGTTTCCATTTTTGTTTCTCTTTCAGGAATGTTGAGATCCGCATTTCAGCATGTCAAAAACTTGGCAGTGCATCATGGGGAATCTTGTCTTCTCCATTGTATTCTCATAGGCTTGCATTAATTTGTTCCCAATCATGGAAGGATAAAAAGCTCACAAATCATGTCTAAAAACTCCCTGATGTGCCTTTTCTTTTTCTGCGTAGGCTGCCTCTGTTGCCTTTTAGCACACCCACATATCTGGTCAGAACTCCATGGACTATAACTTCATGGTGAAGATCTGGGACTCTGGGTGCTTGAGAATTTGATCAATGTTACCAGTGGAAATTGTGTTTTAAATTAAAGGCCTTTCAAAATTCAAGGGAAGTGTTTGCATACACACTCAGGAGACTTCAAAAAGTTCATGGAAAATGGAATTAAGAGATAAGCCTATTTTAGTGCAGAAAATTAGAATATGTACATATGAGAGGTTTTCCAAATAAGATGCACGTTTTGAGAAAATATGCATGGATTTTGACAATTTTTTGTACCAAATAGGCTTATCTTTTAATAGCATTTTCTGCAAACTTTTAAAAGTTCCTTTGTATTTTAGATAAATCAGTAAATTAAATTGAAGCTTAGAAATTGCTTAGGGAATCCTTGGTTTTAGGGCAAAAGTAGAAATAGGATAATTTTGGACAGTTGTATTCTAAAGCTAGCTCTAGAAGTTTGACTTTCTGGCTGCTATGTCACCGAGTTGAGGAAGCCAGTTAGTATACCAGGCTAATTCACACTCTCCTAAATGCTGAGGAGAAGGTCCCAGTACCTGTAGGCTCTTCTCTGAGACATGTGTCAGGAAGGGTGCCAGAAAGAGAGCCTTGCAGTGTCACAGAGGTTGGGTGGGGTTGGACAAAGCAGAGAAACAATTCAGATCAGGAGACCAGCCCAACGGTGAGAGCGAAGGGTGGCTGATGAGTTGATAGGTCTGAGTGTAGGGCTGAGGCAGGTCATCCTGGGTCAGATTCCATTTCGATGGGGTAGGATGAAGAAGAGTGTGATCAGCTACTTTAGGTGTGAATATGACAGTGTGGATAGCGGGGACTGAAGCATGAGAGGTGATAGACCAGGAGACTGGTGGCCGGGATGCTACTGCAAAGTGTCCTGATGAATCCTTAGCATGCGCTGCTGGGTTGGTTCACTTCACCTCAAAAGCATGGCCTATCCTAGACCTGATTGTGACATCAGACATTTTTGACTGAAGTGATTACCCCATCTACCCACAGCAGATAGCTCAAACTTCGTTTGCAATGGTCCTCTATGTCAGTGCTGTTAACCGTCTACCAGTAATGACTCAATGACTCATCTGTGAGAATACTTCATTTGGGTGGAAGCCAGCGCAGAATACTGCAATGATAGTTGGTGACCTGTTAGAGTACTGCATTCTCTGACACAGGACTTCATTGATTGTTGCTGTTCATGTTCACATGTTTTCTTTCCTTGAATCATTTAACAGCATGAATCAGAATTGTTGTGTAGCAACAATAACTAAGACTTGTTCAAATGACTACTAGTTAATGAGCATGCATACTGAAAAGATTCCCATTTCCGTAAGAATTTGGGTGACTTCTACTTTAACGTGATCATTAACCCAAGTGAAGCCATCATAAAGATGGGCAATTGAGGGCCAGGTGTTGCTGGTGGGTGCTCAGGTTATCATCATGTACCTCCATCTAGTGGAATTATTCAATCGGAATGAGTTAAGACTGATGCAGGGGAAATTGCCCTGATTGTACTCACTGCCAGCAGCAGCAGGGAGCTATGACCAAGGCCCGGGCATCCAGACTAGTCACAAGTTATATCCTGTGATATGCTGTTCAACTCTGCTACGGAAAATGTGATTGCAGATGTCGAAAGGACAGCTCATTTCATTGCCCATATCTTTAAGGAAACCTGTCAATGCTGTAAATCAGTGGCTTCCTCGGGCCTTTAGAATCCATCAGCAGAGGGAATTGTTGCCTAACTATTTGTGTAACCTCAGTGCTTTTTGGTCAAGAGGCTTTTGCTAACACTAATGTCATTTTGTCAGCTTTTGAACAACTAACTCAGAGCATTTGAGAACTGAGGGACTGGTGGTGAGTGGTCGCTGGATGGAAGCAGCCAGTCCCCTCCTCCGTCTTCAGCCTGGCCACAGCTATTCTGTCTTCCTCTCAGTGATGGTTTTGCTCCCTTTATATTTTATATTCAATCAAG